AAACCAAATATGTGGATTTTCTTGAAGGGCCTAGAAATGCAGAAAATATAGTTAATTCCGTAAAATCTTACCTTAAAGATCCAGTAAGTTTTCTTCAGCAACAAGATCGTATATGTAGATACAAACCTTTAGTAATTACACCCGATTTTAATATGAACTTAGAAGATTTGCCTCAATATTTACTGGATAATTGTCATTACAATATGAACGTTTTTGACCGCAAAAAATCAATGAAAGACAATCACTATATAATAGCATTTATGGACTTTTCAGGTGGTAAATGTTCGCTCCGACATCTTAAATGGATTGATCAAATTTATCAAGTGGCCTCAAATCTGTCTAGTCATGGAAAATATTTTATAGCAGACTACCAAGATATAGATGTCATAAATCCGGAATGGAAACCCCAAGACTTCAAACAAAATAAAAAACCCACAATAATCGGTATAGATCGTAAGAAAAACAAATTTCTAATGAAGGATTTTAAAACTACTGCCTCCCTGTTTTACTTCGTCTATGATTTATACAGCGGAGATTTATATTTTACAGAACCTTGGCCTAATATCTACGATGGCAAGTTGGTTAAAACTTGTATAGCAGATAGTTTAAATTTATGTATTTCCTCCATTAAAAAGAATATATTTTTAGCAATTTATTATTCGAACACGGAAAGTTCTGAACAATTTTTACAGCTTTTGGAAGAGGTTGCCGGAGATGTGAAAATGTTTTCGTTAAAAATGATAAAAATTGATGCTCGTTTAAATTATATACCTTTGGAAATGGACGATAAAGAATATCCAATTTTATACTTTATACCGAAGAAACATAAAAATCGACGTATACGTTTAAGAAGTAACAACTTAAAGAAAGCAGGAATTGTGGATTTTATTACTGTGAATATACAGAAGGCGGAAACAGATAAATTAAAGAAATAAAATGAAAGATTAAAATAAATACATATGTCTTTTTAACTAGTAAAATGTTATCTAAAATGTCAAATTTTTAAAATTGTTCTTTAAACATAAGTTAGTTAGTTAGTGCCACTTAATATTTGATATTTTTCGCAGTGTATGAATTTCATAATAAAGCTTTATCTCCATATCAGTAAATCTGAACAATATAAACCCCTTTATTTAGGACTACACTTTTAGTTTACTAATAACCGTTAACTAAGTATTTGCGTTTCTCTCAGAACCTCGTAAGTCCAAAAAATAAAAAACATGGATCTATTTAGTGAAATTTTTCTGGATAGTGATAATGAATCCGAATACTTCAGTGATTCAGATTCAGATGTTTATTTTAAGAAACCTCTTACTGCTAGTTATCCTCAATACAACCAGCGTTCCCAGCCTCCATTAAAACCTATTGACTTTGAGGATTACATACGCGATAAATGTCAAAATAAAGTGAAAATATTAAATCGTTCAACATTTCGGCAGATTTCAAAACCTATTATAATATTTTTCAATCATTTTCGTGAAAAATGTGCCTATCACACTGAAAGTTTGGATAAACTCTATCAACTGGCTTTATATTATGGTGATCACATTGTATTTATAGCCGGCGATATGTTAGATATAGATATAATGCATTTAAAATTAAACTCTATATACGCTTTTTGGAATTTACTAAATCCCGAAAAAGAGACTGGCAGTATATTCGCCATAGATCAAGAGAAACGTGTACATCAGCTTTACAGGTCCGACGTAACTTTAGAAGAACTAACAAGGTTATGTGAAGAACTATTAAACGGTAGTCTATTTATATCGGAACCTATAACTGAACCAAATAACTCTAGTTTAGTTAAAATTTGTGTTCATGATAACTTCAAAGAATTGGTAACAAATTCACCGAAACATATTTTGCTAATAGTGAATTTAGGAGATTATCATATAAACCCACAAAGTCAACCCAATTATGAAACTGTAGCTCAACAATTAAAATCGTCTAATGTTGATGTTGTTTATATTAATTGTAATAAAAATGATTTACCTTTTGAGTTGGACAGGGGCTGCTATTCTGCCCTATTACTGATACCTCAAAATGATAAAACCAATTATATAGATTTTCTTAAAGGTCCCAAAACTACAGACAATATAGTAAACTGCGTAAAATCCTATTTAAAAGATCCTAAAACCTTTTTACGCCAACCAAATACAGAATTTTGTAAATATAAATATAAACCTTTAGAAATTACAACGGATTTTAATATGAATTTCGAGGATTTGCAACAATATTTACTGGATAATTGTCTTTACAATATGAAAGTATTTGAAAGAAAGACTTCACTGAAAATCAACAAATTTCTAATAATAGCATTTATGGACTTCTCATGTGGCAAATGTTTGGCACAACATCTAAAATGGATCGATCAAATTTATCAAGTAGCCTCAAATCTAAGTGGTTGTAGAGAATATTTTATAGCTGACTACCAAGATATAGATGTTATAAATCCGAAATGGAAACAACAAGATTTCATCAAAAATATTCAAAGTGAAAATATAACACCCACAGTAATTGGTGTGGATCTTAAGAAAAACAAATTTGTTTTGAAAGATTTTAAAACTATAGTCTCTCTTTTCTATTTCTGCTTTAGTTTATCCAGGGGGGAACTTTATTTCTCTGAACCTTGGCCCAGTAAATACGATGACAACTTGGCTAAAACTTGTATAGCAGATAATTTAAATTTATACATTTCCTCCATTGAAAAGAATTTATTATTGGCAATTTATTATTCGAATACGGAAAATAACGAAAAATTTGTACAGCTTTTGGAAGAAGTAGCCAGCGATGTGAAAAAATTTTCGTTGAAAGTGATAAAAATTGATGCTCGGTTAAATTATTACCTTTGGAAATAGCTGATACGATATATCCAATTTTATATTTTATACCACAGAAAAAAGAAAAAAACGCATACGTTTTTGCGGCGACTATTTCAATAAGGAAGAAATTGTGGATTTTATTGGTATGAACATACAGGAGGAAGAAAATGGTAATTAAGAGAATGAAATAAAAATTTAAAAATAAATACATGTTTTTTTAATTTTTTTGCAAAAATACAAAATTTCGAAAATTTTCTATTAAAAATACAAAATTTCGAAAATTTTCTATTAAAAATACAAAATTTCGAAAATTTTCTATTAAAAATACAAAATTTCGAAAATTTTCTATTAAAAATACAAAATTTCGAAAATTTTCTATTAAAAATACAAAATTTCGAAAATTTTCTATTAAAAATACAAAATTTCGAAAATTTTCTATTAAAAATACAAAATTTCGAAAATTTTCTATTAAAAATACAAAATTTCGAAAATTTCTATAAAAATACAAAATTTCGAAAATTTTCTATTAAAAATACAAAATTTCGAAAATTTTTCTATTAAAAATACAAAATTTCGAAAATTTTCTAAAAATACAAAATTTCGAAAATTTTCTATTAAAATACAAAATTTCGAAAATTTTCTATTAAAAATACAAAATTTCGAAAATTTTCTATTAAAAATACAAAATTTCGAAAATTTTTCATTAAAAATACAAAATTTCGAAATTTTTTCATTAAAAATACAAAATTTCGAAAATTTTTCATTAAAAATACAAAATTTCGAAAATTTTTCATTAAAAATACAAAATTTCGAAAATTTTTCATTAAAAATACAAAATTTCGAAAATTTTCTATTAAAAATACAGAATTTCGAAAATTTTCTATTAAAAATACAGAATTTCGAAAATTTTCTATTAAAAATACAAAATTTCGAAAATTTTCTATTAAAAACACAAAATCTCGAAAATTTCTATTAAAAATACAAAATTTCGAAAATTTTCTATTAAAAATACAAAATTTCGAAAATTTCTATTAAAAATACAAAATTTCGAAAATTTTCAAAATACAAAATTTCGAAAATTTTCTATTAAAAATACAAAATTTCGAAAATTTTCTATTAAAAATACAAAATTTCGAAAATTTTCTATTAAAAATACAAAATTCCGAAGACAATAGATAGATAGATAGATAGATATAGATAGATAGATAGATAGATAGATAGATAGATAGATAGATAGATAGATAGATGATAGATAGAAGATAGATAGATAGTAGATAGATAGATAGAGATAGATAGATAGATAGATAGATAGATAGATAGATAGATAGATAGATAGATAGAAGATAGATAGATAGATAGATAGATAGATAGATAGATAGATAGATAGATAGATAGATAGATAGATAGATAGATAGATAGATAGATAGATAGATAGATAGATAGATAGATAGATAGATAGATAGATAGATAGATAGATAGATAGATAGATAGATAGATAGATAGATAGATAGATAGATAGATAGATAGATAGATAGATAGATAGATAGATAGATAGATAGATAGATAGATAGATAGATAGATAGATAGATAGATAGATAGATAGATAGATAGATAGAGATAGATAGATAGATAGATAGATAGATAGATAGATAGATAGATAGATAGATAGATAGATAGAGATAGATAGATAGATAGATAGATAGATAGATAGATAGATAGATAGATAGATAGATAGATAGATAGATAGATAGATAGATAGATAGATAGATAGATAGATAGATAGATAGATAGATAGATAGATAGATAGATAGATAGATAGATAGATAGATAGATAGATAGATAGATAGATAGATAGATAGATAGATAGATAGATAGATAGATAGATAGATAGATAGATAGATAGATAGATAGATAGATAGATAGATAGATAGATAGATAGATAGATAGATAGATAGATAGATAGATAGATAGATAGATAGATAGATAGATAGATAGATAGATAGATAGATAGATAGATAGATAGATAGATAGATAGATAGATAGATAGATAGATATAGATAGATAGATAGATAGATAGATAGATAGATAGATAGATAGATAGATAGATAGATAGATAGATAGATAGAGATAGATAGATAGATAGATAGATAGATAGATAGATAGATAGATAGATAGATAGATAGATAGATAGGTGATAGATAGATAGATAGATAGATAGATAGATAGATAGATAGATAGATAGATAGATAGATAGATAGATAGATAGTAGATAGATAGATAGATAGATAGATAGATAGATAGATAGATAGATAGATAGATAGATAGATAGATAGATAGATAGTAGATAGGTAGATAGGTAGATGATAGATAGATAGATAGATAGATAGATAGATAGATAGATAGATAGATAGATAGATAGATAGATAGAGATAGATAGATAGATAGATAGATAGATAGATAGATAGATAGATAGATAGATAGATAGATAGATAGATAGATAGATAGATAGATAGATAGATAGATAGATAGATAGATAGATAGATAGATAGATAGATAGATAGATAGATAGATAGATAGATAGATAGATAGATAGATAGATAGATAGATAGATAGATAGATAGATAGATAGATAGATAGATAGATAGATAGATAGATAGATAGATAGATAGATAGATAGATAGATAGATAGATAGATAGATAGATTAGATAGATAGATAGATAGATAGTAGAGATAGATAGATAGATAGATAGATAGATAGATAGATAGATAGATAGATAGATAGATAGATAGATAGATAGATAGATAGATAGATAGATAGATAGATAGATAGATAGATAGATAGATAGATAGATAGATAGATAGATAGATAGATAGATAGAATGGATAGATAAATAAATGGATAGGTACATAAATATTTCTCGGTGTATGAATTTCGTCATTAAACTCCTCTCTCTCGCCAGCTTCTCTCAAAGTACGCAAACAATTTTGCATAAAATCAAAACAAAAAGCTTTTCATCAAACTGTTTTTGTGATAACAACAAACACACAAATTAATTTGACAGCTATCAGCTGGGCCATTAATGTTTACATTTTCTGTTTTACGAATAAAACAACTAAATTGCTAAATTATCTATTTGAGTCATTATCTATCTTTTTAAAAAAGACCACAACAAACGTATTTTCAACCGCTGCTGCTATGGAAACAGACGATTTAGATCATTTTGGTGAATGAAATTCCCTTGAAGGTGATTCATTCAGTGATGTTCACTTAAGAAGACCATCTAAAACACGTTATCGACCATCACCCAAACGTTTGCTGCCACCATTAAAACCTATAGATTTTGAGAAATATGTGCATGAAAATTGTCAAAATAAAATAAAAATATTAAAACGCTCATCAATCCAGGAGATCACAAAACCTATGGTAATATTTTTAATCATTTCCGGGAAAAATGTGCCTATCACACGAAATGTTTGGATAAACTGTTTGCCTTGTCGCTAAAATATGGTGAACGCATAGAATTTCTAGCCGGTGATAGGCTGGACATAGAAGTAATGCATCCCAAATGGCATTCAATTGATTTTTTTCTTCTTCCTGCAGTATAGGCAGTCCGGAAAAGGTTTCTCCACAATTTATGCCATAGATGCCGAAAAACGAGTATATGAACATGAAAGTGCTGAGAAAAGTTGGAAAGTCTAACAAATCTATGTGAAGAACTTTAAAAGGTAATCTCTTCATATCCCAATCGCTGCCGGAAGGGAATACTCTAGTTTGGTTAAATTATGTGTTTATGATAACTACAAGGAATTGGGTTACCAATAATACTAAGCATGTTTTACTTGTTGTCAATTTGGAGGATTATACGGAGTTGGATTTGAACCCTACGAACCCAATTATGAAACTATAGCTGAACAATTACAGCCACATAATATGTGTAGTGGTTTATATAAATGCTGCCAAGAATTATATACCTTTTGAATTAGGAATCTCTAGTTTATCCCAGTTTAGTGCTCATACCCGCTGATGATAAAACCAAGTTTATAGATCCTTTAATGGGTTTCTTATACACAGGAAAACATAATCAATGGTATAATGTCGTACCTGAAGGATCCGCAATTATTTCTGCAGCAAAACCACCTAGAATTAAGTAAGACCCGTTATCAACCCTTAATATACCAGAGGATTTCACACTCGATTTCTTAACTGCCACAGTATTTAAAGGAAAATTGTCAACACTATTTAAAGTATTTGAGCGTGAAGCCTTCCTTAGAAGTAATCGTTGTGTTATTATTGCCTTTATGGATTTTCAAAATGAAACATGTTTGCCTCATCATTTAAAATGGATAGATCGAATCTATCAAGTTGCTCGACAACTAACCAGTCCTAGAGAATATTTTATAGCCGATTTTAAGGATATAGATGTTATAAATCCCTCTTGGAAACCTCAAGATTTCATCAAAAAACTTACAATTATGCGATATAAGCAACACCCAAAGTATTTGGCATAGATCTTAATAAAATAAATTGTTTTAAAGGGATTTTCAAAACTGCGGCCTCACTCTTTATTTTGCCTATAGTTTTAACCAATGGAGAACTATATATATCCGAACCTTGGCCACATAAAAACGATGGCAATTTGGTTAAAACTTGTATAGCGGACAGTTTAAATTTATCTATTATTCCATTAAAAAAGATCTTCTATTGGCCATATATTATTCGGGTTTGGATTATACCGACATTTTACAAGTATTAGAGGTTATAGCCCATGAAATGGAAAAGTATTCGGTGAAAATTTTAAAAATTGATTCCTCGTTAAATTGTATACCTTTGGAATTGGATAATACTTTATATCCGATTTTATATTTTATACCACATAAGGATAAAAATAAACGTATAACCGTTTGCAAGTGATAATTTTAATAAACAAGATATGTAGATTTTATAATTAAGAATGTTGAAGAAAATAATAAAGTTTAAAAGAAAAGCTTAATCTTATTTAAACAGATAATCAACCAAAATTTTCTACAAATATAAAAATTTTTCCATAAAAATACATAATTTCTTTTATAAATGTTAAGTGTTTTTTGAAAAGAATTAAATTTATAAACTGAGTATTTTTTTCTGTGCCACAACAAGTAACCACCTTAATTACAACACTAAAATAACCCTTTAACACTACATATGAGTTTTAGAGCTTCAAACCATCATCGAAACAAACAAAAAATGCAAAATATTACCATCGATAACAGAATTGTATTTTTTAAATCATTCCAAATTAATAAAAGAACTTTTACCGGCAAACACACGGACTCCAAACTAAAATCGTATGCCTTAAAACCACAACTTTTCCACTTTCATCCAAAACAAAACAATGTTACTTTGGAAACTTCCCCAAGTGCAAAACAAATCAAAAAACTTAATCGCAAAAGAAAAGCGGAAACGGAAACTGAAAATACACTGCAAGAAACCTACGGTTGCAGGCCATTTCTCAAGGAAATACAACAAAACTTCTTAAATTCAACAGACAACCTTGAGGAACTGCCACGTTTATGGGAACAGACGCAAGAATTTCCCCAATTTCGTGGTGCTAATGCAACAAATGAATTTCAAACAACCAAATTCTGTCAGCAAAACTATATTATACCGCCCAAAACGAAATTCTTTAACTACAACATTGAGGAACTACACAAATTACTGCCTGAACTGGAATGTTATGATATATTGATAATGGATATGCCCTGGCTAAATAAATACATCAAACGTTTAAAAAAGGTGAAACAATCTTTAGCCTATCAAATGCTAGACAATGAAACCCTTAAGAAAATGCCCATTGCCCAGCTAATACACATCAACTCCTTGGTTTATTATGGTGCACCAATTCACCTCAACATCGTCAAGCTTTAGAACAAGACTTCCTACCCAGTTGGAATTTACAGTTGATTCATACAGTAAAATGGTTTAAGCTTAATACCCTAGGCGAGCTAATAAGTCCTCTTAAAGCAGAGGGCTTCAAACAACCCTATGAATTGTTGTATATAACTTGTCATAAGGGAAAGGAATGTATTGGATTTACAGGATATTCGAAAAGTAGATTTCCTTATAAGTATACCCAGTATTATACATTCTCATAAGCCACCTTTGGTGGAATGGCTAAAGAAATTTCTACCTAATGGGAAAAATTTTAAGGGTCTGGAAATTTTTGCCCGTTATTTACAGCCTCAATTCACCTCAATTGGTTTGGAGGTGCTTAAGTTGATGGATCAACGTTTGTATAAGGAACTGAAGATTGCGAATAACTTTTAAGGAGGATAGTTTATGTGTGATTAAAACGGGATTTATTTTAAGAAATATATTGTTTAAATAAAAAAATTGTTTAAAATGAATCTAAAGTTAACCAATCTGTTGTCGAAACTATAGTTAGATTATATATCAAACCTATAGTCGAGACTATGGACTAATCGATTGTCGCGTCTGCAGACTATAGTCAAGACTATAGAGCAACAAATAGTCAAGACTTAGACTAATCTGTTGTCGGGATTATAGATAGTCTATAGTCGAGATTATAGACAGTCTCTAGTCAAGACTACAGACAATCTATAGTCAAGACTACAGACAATCTATAGTCAAGACTATATGTCTATAGTAGAGACTATAGACAATCTATAGTCGAGACTATAGACAATCTATAGTCGAGACTATAGACAATCTATAGTCGAGACTATAGACTATCTATAAACAAGACTATAGACAATCTATATTCAAGACTATAGACAATCTATGGTCAAGACTATACACAATATATAGTCGAGAATATAGACAATTATATAGTCCGAGACTATAGACAATATATAGTCGAGACTATAGACAATCTATAGTCGAGACTATAGACAATCTATAGTCGAGACTATAGACAATCTATAGTCGAGACTATAGACAATCTATGGTCAAGACTATAGACAATATATAGTCGAGACTATAGACAATATATAGGTCGAGACTATAGACAATCTATAGTCGAGATTATAGACAATCTATAGTCGAGACTATAGACATCTATAGTCGAGACTTAAGAATTAGAACAATCTATAGTCGAGACTATAGACAATCTATAGTCGAGACTATAGACAATCTATAGTCGAGACTATAGACAATCTATAGTCGAGACTATAGACAATCTATAGTCGAGACTATAGACAATCTATGGTCAAGACTATAGACAATATATAGTCGAGACTATAGACAATATATAGTCGAGACTATAGACAATCTATAGTCGAGATTATAGACAATCTATAGTCGAGACTATAGACAATCTATAGTCGAGACTATAGACAATCTATAGTCGAGACTATAGACAATCTATAGTCGAGACTATAGACAATCTGTATATAGTAGAGAATATAGTCGCTAGACTAACTATAGTTGATTAGTCATAGTCTCCACTATAGACAACCTATTGTAGATAATAAAGAATATCTTCAGTAGAAAATAAGGACAATCTGCAGTATAGAATATGGACAATCTATAGTACAGAATATGGACAATCTACAGTACAGAATGTGAACAATCTACAGTAGAGAATCTGGACAATCTATAGTAGACTACAAACTATAGTCTCAACTATAGACCAATCTATAGTTCAAACATTAGGCCAATCTATAGATGAGTCGAGACTATAAATCAATCTATATTCTAGATTATAAATATAAAACAAGCAATTTGTTTTTTCACTTTCTTGTAAATTTTTGTTTTTTTGTTTTATTATTTCCATTATATAAATGTTAATGAGAGAACACAAGCTTAAGCGACGAGTAAATAGAGTTTAACAAAAAAAAAATAAGATTAAAAGAAAAGTGGGTGTGTGTATGGTGAATTTGTTTAAAGCCTTTCAATTTAATTTTAACGGCTTTAACGTTAGAAACACAGTTTCTTAAACGTTTACAATAGTTTTTCTCATTAAATGCAGGGTGATTTTTTGTTTGATAATTTTTTTGTTTTTGTTTCAATTGTGTTTTAAAGAAAGAAATAAGAAGAAATTAATATTAAACGATAAATTAGAGCAAAAGAAAAAAATATATGATTTAATACATAAGTAAGAACAAATTGTAGATGTTTATTGTTCACCACCGGCAGCAGCAGCAGCGGGATTAGTAATGCCATCACCCTTCTTCTGGAACCGGAAACAATATCATCGATACGCAGCAAAAGAATGGCAGTTTCAACGGCGGTCTTATAGGTTTGCATTTTAACAGCCAATGGCTCCCAGATGCCCTTAACGTTCATGTCAACAATTTCACCCGATTCACCATCAATACCCCAGGCGCATACACCCTCACCGGAGTGGGAGGCATGTTTAGCTCTCAAGGCAGTCAAGGTGCGAATGGTATTGGCACCACAATTTTGAGCCAAAGTACGAGGAATGATTTCCAAAGCTTCTGCTACAGCGGTATAGGGACCCTTCAATTGTTTGCGAGTCAAGAGTTGTGACAAAGCCATTTCAATGGCACCACCACCAGCTACCAAACGTGGCTCCAAAACTAAATTACGTGCCACATGTAAGGCATCTTGTAAATTACGTTCAGTTTCATTCAAAATATCCTTGGAAGCACCTCTCAACAAAATAGTACAGGCCTTAGGATCCTTGCACTCTGTAATGAAAGTGAAGTATTCATCACCGAATTTCTTGATTTCAAAGAGGCCAGCACCAGTGCCAACATCCTTTTCAGTCAACTCTTCGGTACGATTAACAATTGTGGCACCACAAGCACGAGCAATACGCAAGTTGTCGGTTTTACGCAAACGACGAATAGCTGTAATACCAGCCTTCAACAGATAGTGTTGAGCCAAATCGGAAACACCCTTTTCGGTGAAAACAATATCGGGTTTGACAGCAATAATATCGGCACAAATACGCTGTACGAACTCTTCTTCGATTTGCAACATGCGTGTGAAATCTTGCTCGCCAATAATCTCAACATTGGTCTGGCTTTCACCCTTTTTGTATTCCAACGAACAGTCGAGAAGGACAATGCGTGGATTAACAATATGACGACGCATTTTGGGATGGGTAACATCCTTGTTGATCATAACACCCTTCAAGACGCAAGATTCATCGATGGAACCACCGGGAATTTTCTCAACTTTAGCATAACTGAAAGGGAAGAGAAACGATTTCATTACAAGATCATCTCAATAACTGTTATACAAATGTTATATACAAAAGTTTTTATGTGAAAAGTTGCAAAATTTTTAATACACAATAATTTCAATAGAAAAAATTGTTATAAATTTTATTGAAAAATCTGTTATACACAATATTATCCATAAACTTTTTTTCGATTTTCTATAGAATAAAACTGTTATACAATTCTACAGAAAAACTTTAAAACACAAGATTTCCTAAAAAACATTTTTACACAATACTTTCTATAGAAAAACTATTTTACATTTTCAATTAAAAAAAACTTGTAGGGTAAATGCACCTAATGTCGGCATCACCCAGTAGTCGGCATCATTTACATAAAAATGTAAATAAATAAGAAAAGCTGTACAAATTTATTAAGGTTTGATCTATATTTCATAGAAAATATGGTCTTTTTGCTTTATGAAATGAGTAAATTTAAGTAGGATTACTAATTTCCTCTATATTTGACGTTATTTAGTGACAGCTTTGCAGCATTTGTAGTACTGTCAGTTTTCTTAAAAAAAATTTAGTTTTAGTGCCACCTTAAACAAGTGAATATTTATATGAAATTAAATGATTTATTTGACAAAAATTGATTTAAATGAAAGAAAACAGTTGAAATATTCAATTTAAAGTGAAAAAGTTAGTTAAAAATATATTTTTTTGTAATTTTAATCGCTGCCGCCATTAGGAACACAATTTTTTATGAATTCTTATTGTCGGCATAGGGGTGCCGACTACTGGGTATTAAGTTCGATTATACGTATTCTATAGTCGGCACTCTAAAATTTATTATTTCTCTATAGAAAAATTGGGTATATTACTATGAAAAATTTCTATATAACAATTTTCTCTTCAAAAATTATACGTATAACAGTTATTTTTGCAAAAAAAAATGTATGTATAACTCTTTTCTCTATAAAAATTTATGTATATTACAATTTCCTTGATTGTACAACATTTGTTTCTATAGAGAATTATGTGTATACAATTTTTTTCTATAGAAAATTTTATGTATAACAATCTTTGATACAAAAAAATTATGTGTATATCAGTTTTCTCTATGAAAAATTGTGTGTATACCCTTTTTTTCTATAGAAAATTACTTCTATAATAGCTTTTTCTATAGAAGATTACAATTTTCTACTACAGAATATAATTTTCTATACAAAAAAATGTGTATAACAGTTTTTTTTCTATTAAAAATTTTGCATATAGACATTTTTTCTAACAAAATTGCTTCTTAACTGTTTTTTTACAAAAAAATTATGAGTATAACAATTTTTTTCTATAGAAAATTCCTAGTATGACAATTTTTCTATAGAAAAGTGTTCTTATTATAATATCCTCTACGAAACTTATGTTTAATTTTTTTCCTATGGGAAATTGCATATTTTTATAAAAGATTTTCTTTAAAAACAGTACATATAACACTTTTCCCTATAAAAATTACTTTTTTCTCTAACAAAAAATATAATATTGTATAGAAAATTGCATGCATAACTCTTTTTCTATAGAAAAAAATGTTATTATGTATACTTATTACAATTATAATTATGTTTATAACATATTTTTCTACAGAAAAAACGATATTATTACAGTTATTTCTATAGAAAAAATTTAATTAAATATTTTCTTTGGAAAATTGTGTATATATCACTTTTTTCTATAAATAAATATGCTTTTTTCAAACAAAAAATCTACTGCCGACTATAGGGACATTTTTTGTCGAACTTAGGAACACTGGTGCCGACTATTGGAAAATGTGGAGTTTTTAACAAAATTTACAAATTACTAAAAACTAGTTATTTGTTTTTTCAAAAAGTTAAATGGATCTAAAACTTAACTAAACACATAATTGAAATAACTAAAAATCATCGTAATAACATTTTCCGACTCTTTAGGGGGATAGTTTGAAAAAGAGAAAAAAGTTAAACTGCCGACTATTGGTACATTTACCCTATATTCATTTCTTCTCTAAAAAACACGTTTTCTTTAAAATTTCACTATTCAACTCACCGCTTAATATCAACTTCCAAACGACCATTCTCGTTCAATGTAACAGTCTGTACAGCATCCAAGGCAATCTTTACAGCCATCTCAGACCATTTACCAATGAACTTAGTACCGACACAAGCTTTCACCACTTCAGCCATTTTTTCCCTATTGTTACAATCCAAAGGCACACTCAAATCGCTTTGCAGGTGCTTAACAATATCCTCTAATGCCTCACGATAAGCTCTAATAATGACAGTAGGATGGATTTGTTGTTGTAGGAAAGGTTCGGCAGCAGCCAACATTTCGCCGGCCAAAACAATGACCGAAGTGGTACCATCACCAACTTCTTCATCTTGAGTACGAGCAATTTCGATCATACTCTTGGCAGCTGGATGTTGTACGGTAATTTCACGCAATATGGCGTTACCATCGTTAGTCATGACAATACCACCCATGGGATCCATCAACATTTTTAACATGGCCTGAGGACCCAAGCAGGTACGGATGACATCGGCAATGGCCTAAGAATTCGGAAAAAAACATTTAACAATGTAACAGATGGTCGGCCTATTAATAATAGGGCTTCTTTTATTATATGAGTCACAATGGCAAGAAGAAAACCCACACATACTCGCACACACTTACCTTTCCGGCATTTATATTCTCCAGCTGCACTTTACGGCCAGACTCTCTTTTAGTATTTTGGCCTAACAAAGAAAGAAAATGCTTAAATTTCTTAAGTTTTCCATGAAATTTTCGAAAAACTTACTTAAAACCAATATGGGTTGTTGTCCACCAAACATTTTTATTTTAAATTTATTTGAAAAATTCAATTAAAACAATAAGAATAACTCGTGCTTTGTATGTGATCTGCTCTTGGGCACCCCTCTTTGGCGAAAAAAAAAATGTTTTAAAATGACGTGAGTGTTTTGAGGTTATGTTTACATGAACAGTAATTTTGACACTTCCAGAATACTCTTGCGAAACTACAACGATATGGCAACTTTAGAAAAAAAAACAAGTATGACACACAGCTGTATTTAAAAAGAATTTACAGAAGATATTGTCAACCGCAAAGAGAGACACAAATTATGAGCTCTAAAATGTCAAATTACATAAATAAAAAATATTCTCAATAACACGGAAATGTCAAAAACAACACGAAAATATTGCCACGGCTGTAACCTTACTAAATTTGCCTTTGCCGAGGCAATACATATTTGTTTATAAACGTTTTGTAGCATTTATTTTTTAATAATTTTTATGATAAATGTTTAAATTTTAAAAAATTTCGTAAAGTTTTTATTTATTACAATATGGAGCCCAAAAAGATATCATTTGGTTTTAGTAAAATTAATAAAAAACTAAATTTATTGCCCATTAAAGAGAATGTTCAAAAGGAAACCAAAGTGGAATTGATAAAATGCTTGGAAGGACAAGAAATTAAATTAGTTGAGTGAGTAAAAACAAGAAAATTTCAAAAATAATAATATTAAATAAATTTTATTTCATTACTTATAAAAACAGAGAAAAACCAGAGGAACTGCCTTTAATAATACCTTTAAAGGAATCCCATAAAACTTCGGCTGCCCTGGCCAGTTTAATAAAAAGACGGGCAGTTTTGCTGGGAGAAGAAGAGACGGAAGAAAGTACAGAGAAGAAATATGTTACAGCCCCTATTAGCAATGAAGGTCCCGAAGATATAGAAAAACGCGCCGCCAGAGAACTTTTAGCTGACGTTCAAAAGAATGATGCTGCTACCTCAAACAATAATTTAGTTTTACCCGTTGTAAAACCTGAGGATTTGCCTTTAGACGGCGCTAAAGAATCCACTTTAGATGATTATGATTCCATACCCATACAAGATTTCGGCAAAGCTATGTTACGCGGCATGGGTTGGAGCGAACCACCAGCTACCAAAAACAAAAAAGGTTCTCTACCCATCGACGATACACCTATGGTAAGACCAAAAGGTATGGGTCTGGGTGCGGATAAAGCTTTAACTAAAAAACCTCTTTTAGTGGCGCCCGAAGCTAATGAAGTGTTGGAGGTTAAACGTAATGCTTATGTGCGAATTTTGGGTGGTAAACATAAAGATCTGTATGGGCAAATCGAAGGTTTCGATGATCATGCTGGTAGGGTTATTGTCAAAATGGCGATAGGTGGTGCTAAGGAAGCGTTTAATGAGTTTCTTTGCCAGCCGGTGTCGAAGAAGGAGTATGCTCAATATGGAAAATGTATAAGTGAGTAGATAACTAATCATATTCCAAATTTTGCAACAGTACTAAATTATAATAAAAGTATGTAGTACTGGTTAGGCTTCAAAGACGAGAGACAAGAGAGAAGGCAACGGGAGAGGCGACAGGGGAGACGAAAGGAGAGACGGACGAAAAGAGAAAAAGGACCAAAAGAAGGGAGGGCGAGGACGGAACTGGCCGGGCCGGACGGACGACGGACGTACGGACGGACGGACGGACGGACGGACGGACGAGACGGACGGACGGACGGACGGACGGACGAGCCGGACGGACGGACGTACGGACGACGGACTACGGACGGACGGACGGACGGACGACGGACGGACGACGACCGGACGGGACGGACGGACGGACGGACGGACGGACGGACGGACGGACGGACGACGGACGGACGGACGGACGGACGACGGACGGACGGACGGACGGACGGACGGACGACGACGACGGACGACGGACGGACGGACGGACGGAGGACGGACCGGACGACTGGAGGACTACGGGACGGAAGACGGACGGACCGGAGGACTGGAATGACGGTGACGGGACGGACGACGGACGGACGACGGATCGACGAGACGGACGGACGGACGGACTGACTGAGGGACGTACGGCACGGACTGACGGACCGTACGGTACGGACGGACGGACGGACGGACGGATCGGACGGACGAAGGACGGACGGACGGACTACGGAGGACTGACTGACGACGGACGGACTTACGGACGGACGGACGACGACTGACTGACTGACTGACGTACTGACTACGGACCGGACGGACGGAAGGACTGACTCACTTACGTAACGGACGGACTACGTACTGTACTTACTTATGTACTGACTTACTTACGGTCGGACTTAATTACTGACGTACGTACTGACGACTTACGTACTGTACTTACTTACTTACTTACTTACTTATACTACTTACTTACTTACATTACTTACTTACTTACTTATTTTTCCCCTAGGGACACCTCCAAAATATGAAGAATACAAAAGGAAGGAAAATGAACATGGTCAAATTATTTTGGATAAGACGAAAAGGATATGATCGAGTAAAAATATGAAAAGAAAATCAAAAAAGAAATAAAAGACTACGCTGAAGACGATTACAGGAACGTGAAAAACAAAGATACTCACGAAAGAAATGGAAAATATGAGAATTATCGAGAGGATAATAAAGATATTAAGAGAGAGCAAAAATATTATGATAAAGATGAAAATGATCGCGATAAGAACAGTGATCGAAATCGTAATAGATATGAGGAGGACAAAGATCGCAGAAGGGAAAAAATAGAGATGAAGGGGAACATATTAAAAGGCAAAATGATAACAAAAGAGATTATCCGAGAGATGACGAGAGGGATCGCAGAAGGGAATATAGCAGAGATGATGAAAAAGATCGCAGGAGAGAAAATAACAGATATGATGACAGAGATCGTAAAAGAGAAACTAACAGGGATGATAAACGAGATCATAGAAGAGAATATAACCAAGATGATGAGAAAGATCGCAAAAGGGATTATAATAGAGATGATGAACGGGAACGCAGAAAAGAATATAACCGGGATAATGAGAGAGATCGCAGGAGGGATTATAGCAAAGATGATGATAGTAGCAGGATAGTTAACGACAGATACCGCAAGAGAGAAGACAACACAGATAATGATAGAGATCGCAGGAGAGATAAAGATGATGGACGAGATCGAAAATTTGATGATAAATCTCGCTACAAAGAATCAAATGATCTTGACTATAGCTCTTCCATTAGAGATAAAGAAAGACAACGAGAACGCGAACGACAACAGCACAAAGTAATTGCTGTAGATGATTCCTCCGATTCGGAAAATGAAACACATACGTCCAAACATAAAAAATCAAAGAAATCAAAACATGCTAAGAAAAAATTCAAAAAATCTAAATCAAAATATAAAAATGATTCATCAGAAGAGGAGACCTCATCATCGCCATCATCAACGGATTCTTCTACAGATAGCGAGGAGGAAAAACATAAAAAACACAAAAAGAAAACCAAGAAAAGTAAAAAACAACGTGAACGTTCCCGTTCTAGAGGAAGAAGATGATTTAATAATTAATTTAAAATGTAATAAAAGTTTCTTTAATAAATTAAAAAAAAAACTTGTTTTTAATTTAATAACTTTGTTTTTATTTTTATTAATTTCAAATTTTTCTGTATTTTAGATTTTTTATTTATTTTATAGACATAACTTACAACTAGTTTAATTTAAACGCTTAAGCGCAAAAAAATATATTATGATTTTACCACTGACTGGTTTTTTTTTTGTTTAATATTTATTTTAATTATGTATAAGTATTGAAATGTTGTTTTAAAGTGGTGATTGTTTAATATTTAATGTGTTAAAAAGATTGTGATTTTCGATTCTTATAAATGCTTTAGAGGGAATAATATTCCTTTAACTTTATTAATTTATGCGTATCGTTATTAAGGTGAGGAAACTGAAAATAAGGATCTAAATTTCAAGATAGAAAAAGTATTAGAAATGAGAAAAAACCAATAGGTCATCTATAACTAAAGAAAACTGTTCTCAAAAACTAAAATTAGATCTCGTTAAAGTTTAAATGTTTATGATTTCAGTTGTATGTATTTTTTTGCTTTTAATATCTAAATGTTTAATTTTTAGCTTTTTTTTTGTTTTAATGCATATTTTTTATGTATATTTTTTATTTATGTGAGCTTTATTTTAAAAATACTTATTAGATGCTTTGGTCGAAGTTGTCCTTTGTTTGTAAATT